TACTTACACATATATGTACTTTTCATTTTCTAAAACTCTCTTGCAAATATTGTGAGTATTTCTGAATGGAGTAAGGGTCCTACTTTAGGATAGTTGTGTACTGGATATTTGCATCCCGGCCAATTGCATACCAGATAATTGCATTCCTAGCCATTTGCGTCCCTAGACAAATCCTTCCCTAGATAAATCCTTCCCTAGATAAATCCTTCCCTAGACAAATCCTTCCCTAGATAAATCCTTCCCTAGATAAATCCTTACCTCTAATTTTTGGAAGCTTTTAAAGGCAATTAGCATAAATTTAGGAAAAGCATAGGTATTAATCATACATTTTTAAAAAGGGAATAAATGGAATGAAATAGCTAAAAATTTAAAAGTTTATTTTTTTCTGAAAATGCAATGACAGATTGACAGTGTTGCAAGATCGCTCTACACATCGCCAGTATGTTTTTGTTTCATTCGCGAACATGATTCTTATGATAGAGGTAGCTGTAATTTTCCAATTCCACATATATTTTCCACCAGTGTTTGATTTTATGAACTTATTGGTTCCAAATAAATATATAAACTATAAAATCCAGAATGTAAGAATGTTTGTGGTACGCACTGCTGGAACGAATCGAAACTGCTAGCTTAATTTCCCCTTGCTTTAAAAAAAGAAATTTGTCTCTCTTTTCTCATTTATTATAACTATCTTTCAGTGTGTTTAGAGTAATTAAAATAATGGTGTGTAAATTTCTATATTAAACAACTCTGTAAAAAAACGGTAACTTCAAAAAATTATCAGAGGTCGCAACTATCCAGGGATGCATTTGTCTAGGGACTCAAATGTCCAGGGACGCAATTTTTCGGGACGCATATGCCCAGGACGTAACTCTCCAGTACCCAACTGTCCGTCCACTGACGTCTCCTGTGGTATTAGTCGCTACAGTCCGCGGTCACTACAGTGCATACTGGCGTGAACCAAGGGAAGCTACACATTTCAGGCAGTGTGAAACTTTCCATGCCGTACACGATGAATTTCGACCATAAAATACTAAACCTTCATTTCTCTACTCTCATTCAAATGTCTTTCCTTTTTCATAGATACTGTAATCTCGTAAAACGTACTGTTCACAAATATAATTTTGGCTTGCTATCTTTGTTTATATTTTATGTGTAAAGGAATATTTTTCAAATTCAGCCAAATTAGATTTTCTTTTATCTTTATCTTTCTGTGTTTATCCAATCTGCATTTTTTAGAATAAATATCAAACATTACAATTTTCGTTTATTTATGATGTTAATTACCGTTAGATGAGGACAAATATATGTTACTATTACCAATAAATAAAAGAGCCAATGAAGCATGATTTATAATATACGATATATCAAGACTTGATCTATTTTGTCTAAAAATATTTTCTAAATATAACCTCGTTTGGCACAGAGGCAAAATAAAGTGCAACCCATTGTAAATTTAATAATTGTCTGCAAGATGAGCTTGGAAACAAATTCTCTGCAACAGGCGCCATGATTTAATATATTTTCTAGTTGCAAACATGTCTGCCTAAATTCATAAATACGTTGTAATCTAAAACGAAAATATCATCATCGTTTCATGAATAAAGCACTAAGGCGCCATAAGTCTAAAAATATAAACTAATAAAATTGGTGAGACCTTAGTACACTCCTAAAATACATTTATAGACAATGGAGTTGCGAGTTTGTCCCCCGCCCCTCAACGTCTGCTACTTTGGTCGTCGCACGGCGAAATCGATGGCAGACGACAGTTGAACAATGAACCAATGAAGTGAAAAAGGAAATTTTTATCAGAAACTTAGATGAAAGGATTAATCTTTATAGCACACATTATTAGGCGTACTTTAATAGACATGTATTATTATTTTCAATACAACATTTAACATTAAAAAAAACATCCCTTTATCTTATTCAATTCTATTTTCAGTATTAAAAGATGTATTGTCATTTCCTGTGTCATTAAAATCATTACTTTGCAAAATCTTCGGCTTACGGCCGTATCACGTTTAAAAACCAGTTTCCGTACAATCACCAAAGTTAAGCACCGTCGAGCCTGGTAAGTACCTAGATGAGTGAGCGTTTGGGAATACCTGGTGTTACAAGCTTGGATGTGCGGGTGGTATAATGGATAATAGCTGCTAATTGTTAACTGGAGTGCGGAGTTCCAATTCCTGTTGGGTTCTTTACATTTTGTTATGCGCAAATAGCCTTGGGAAACGTATGAGTCCACATCTTCACAACCCCGTTATAAATTAATTAGTAAGATTTTTATCACTAAACCAATATTATCGCAAACAAAACTTCTTACAATCTACGAATATTTTCTGGCTTTAAATAACCAGCAAATGGTAGATAAACCGTAAAACTAATAAATCAATCATGCAGGCAATATCTTCGCTTCCTTCTCTATGCCGTGTAGCTTCAAGGCGCTGGAGATTATAGCTCTCCACAATTTCCCGTCTTTTGTCGTTCTTAATAGAGTTTGTCCCTTTTATCTGGACTAAACCTTGTTCCTAAGTCCCTACACTAAAGCGCTCTAGGTTTCGACTCCCTCTTTCTGATTTTAATTAAATCGAAGTAAATAATTTTCTCATTAACAGAATATACTACTCGTTGTCGACTAACTCTTATCCAAGAATTTAATTTCTTTTTTGATGATCGCTTTCTTTATGATAATGGCGATTATGACGAAATGTGCAGGTTTAGGACTGGAACCTTCCAGATTCAGCAAATCCTGTTTCCATCATCCATTCTCTATAGCCATTTGGCTTTTCAAGAGTTAAGTTAGAGTAGAATAAAGGGCCGATGGCGAGAATCTTTTTAATGTCAACCTCAACTCGCCAGGAAGTGACCCGCACATTTGATTTCATGACATTTCTCGGCGGCATATATGGAATGAGACATGCAGGATGTAGTTATGAAACTGCAACGGACTGCCGCTGACTGTTTTAATTTTGAGTGACGCCTTCTGTAACATGTCCGCCATGCGTAGTCCTGTTAATGCGCTTGTTCAACTGTTGACATCTGTTTTAATCCTCATTTGCTTTTTCAACCGTTGGGGTCATTGGAATTGGTCTTGTTTAGTTTGAGTAATGTACTATTAATACATAATTATCATGAGTAAACATTCATTTTTCATGACAAGTCGGGGAATTTTAATAGAAATTGTGCGGGTGAAATAAATTGGTAGCTATCTCTTAATTTTCGATATTTTAGTAAGCCTACCACCCCTGTTTCTTTGGAAATATTACTAAATGTAAGTAGGTTGATTTATACCAAAGCTTGTTAGGTAGATAGGCACATCAAAATGTCTATTGTCTGAGAAATTTAAATATTTTATAAAACATTTTTAAATTCTCTATTCAGCAAATCAATTAAAGATTGTACAGATAATATTTCAGATCAAGAATTAGTCAACAAGTTCAGATGCGGAATTATTGATCCACTTTGTATTACACATTGATTCATTCGAACTGATATCGTTCGTTTTTGTAGTCGAAGAAAAGAATATATATTTAAATTAAGGCTCCAAAAAATCATTAAACGTTATTACAGAAAAGGTTATCGTGGATAAAAGCCGAAGAAGTCGTGAGTTTAATTACTTGGACAAGTAGCGCAGGAATAGACATCGGATTAGTGGATAATCTGTGATTTTGTAATTCTGTATAATATTGTATCTATCATCATCGCTATCACACACACATACATACAGATCATACGGCAAGCATTCATTGGCTAATCTCCTCAAAACTAGCTTGCTGATTGGTCAATTCCGACCAATCAAATCGCCTGCACGCGAGGAATAATTTTCCCGCGCACAAGGCCGGGAGCCCGTCACGTGACACACAACCTTATATAAACAAAACACGAATGAGCCTCTCTCGTTCACTTCGTTCATCTTTTTCCTTGCTGCCAAGATATAGTCAGACGTGCGGTCAGACGTTAAAGAAGCAATGTTTCCACAAGCCGTTAGTAAAGTAGAGTCCACAAAACTATAACATTACACACAACATTTCAAACGCACACACAGACACAGATTTGGGTAATACATATATACATATCTCTCTGTGACTCAGCCAAGTACATTCAACCAGGACCCTGTTGATTTTTCTAACACAGCACACTTTCGGATCAATTGTATTCTTGTGTTATCTATTCTAACAGCAGACTCTATTTAACATAGATTCCTGAACATTCTCTCTCAAGAGAAATTCTTTCGAGCATTCAATCACAAGCCAGAAATACAGTAAAAGGGGGAAAACTTCTTTTCCCTTAATCTGTACATTTCAGTGCATGTTTGTTTTGTATGCTATATTTTCAATATATACTTGTTGATCCACATTTGGAGTTTCGTTGTTTTTCTTCAATCATTAAATGTACAAAAGATATATGTTCTAAGAACACGCATAACAATATCAAAGCCTTAAAAACATACCGCTATAGTTTAAATTCGACATCATCAGTCTATCAACCATGACAGACACTTGAGGAATGCTGTAGACTACAATGATCGGAAGCTTTTGATATAAAAGTAAACGAATCAATAAATTAGCGATGGTCTCCCTTGTGGAATGTTTGCTCATCCACTCTTGAGTAATGTAAGAAGCTTTCGTCTTATTCTTGTTTTAGCAAATAATGATCCTCTTGATGACTGAAAAAAAGTAAACGATCGTGTGGAGATTTTTTCGTTAATCACAGTTAATGAGGGAACTTGGTGTTTTTTTAATCTTCGATGCAAGTAACTCAGGCTATATAAAGAAGTACAACTAAAGACGATATTGTTGGAGAAGTTCTTTTTTTTGCAGGCGGACACAAGGAAGAACTAGCACAGAACTAAAAGCCAATACCTATATCAAGCAGATTTGTAACGTCATAAACTCTAATCCCCCTAACTTGACGAAGATGATGGACAACAAAATAACATGGCGGCAGTTATGAGAATCCGTGCAAACAGTGCGACTGGATGATTATGAGTAAGCCTCAAGACGTTTTAGAATTGATTATTGGAGCAGTTCGATTTGCATTGTGGTTTAATGGATATCAACTTTGAATGTGAACTCGGAAAGCTGAGTTCGAATTCCAATCGGGTTCGTTAGATTTACTTACGCGCAAATACCCTTGGGAAAGAGATGAATTCATCTCTTCCCCCAACCCCTATCTGTGGATTGAATAGAAAAGTTCTCAAGCCATAGCCGAAAATCAGTCTGCCGGAAAAAAAACAAAACTTCTGAATAGTCAGTCATGAATCGAAAGAAACATGATCACCCAAGCAACATGTATCACGTATGACATTTAACTGACTATAGGATGCCCAACACGTATTAAGTATCCTGATATCTTAGTAATTGTTGGTTGTGGAGATAGTTTCACAGGGCATTGTTAATATATACGAAGCACTCTTAGAACTGCTTGGATGAGCCTGTTTACACAAAACATTGATTAAGCCCATTCCGCCCCCACCTGTTAAATTTGGTAGGATGAGGAGATAGTTTACTTATGCCACTGTTACGGCGTATTATGACGCCTTAGACATTGATGGGTGAGGAGATGCTTTTCCAAAGTATTTCTTAAGATTATTAAGCTTCCTGGCCTCTTATAATGTCTTGCAGGAGTAGATAGTTTACACATAATCCTTTTAAGAAGTATTAAGTCTCTTAACGTCATAATACTACTTGGAAGAAGAAATGGTTTACACACGCTACTGTAAAGACAAAATATGCATCATGATATCTTAGAATTGCCTTAAGCAGAGATGGTTAAGGGATCCCACTGCTACAAGATATTCGGCCTCATGATTTCTTACAACTGTGTGAGTTTATTCTACAAGAGATCACTGTAGATAATTCAAATCTTTTTGAAGACATCGATTTAAAGCCTTATTTATTACAACCATTAGCAATAAGCTTTTTACAGGAAGGTGTGAAGAGAAGAGCCATAAAAATATTGGAGTAATTGTGGAACGATTTTAATGAAGAAGATAGGCTGCATTCTATATGTGTTGTGTTGCTTAAAATTGGAGTGTGTAAAATAAATTCTTGCTTCTGAAAACTGCTTTTTCATCAGCAATTACCGATGATGATGAAAGTATGGATCAACTAGGGTCAGAAATGTATTATTCAACACAGGTTAAATAACTACAAGATCATTCAATCCGATCAGCGGCATGGCTAAACCTGACCAAATCTAGCCGTGATCAATGACAAATTTATTAAGAATCGGTGTAATTAATCACAGTCTATTTCTCTTGCTATTTGTTATCTATCTTCCTCTGGGGAACCTAGAATCAGACAGATCATTGATGAATCGAGCATTTTTAGTGGATACTCTCTATGTTACATTGATTTCTCCCAAACAAATTAGTCTCTCATGAGTCACATTATCGTTAGACATTCTGGCTAAATAGCATTATGATGTTTCTAATTGGGTTATCGCTTATTCCATTTATGATCTGAAATGCTTTGATTTTCTTAATCAGGTTTAAGCAAATCTCAACTAATGTTTGAACTTATGTTTCGATAGCTTGTCGCTCTTCTGAGGGAAAGGGTTTTTTTCTGATGATTTTACTCTTTCACAATTTCAAAATAGTTTTGTAAAAACAACTAATATCTAAAATAAATCGGCTATACCCTTTGCTTTATATGAGAAAATTTCCGAAATAGGCTTTTATAATATTGAATTCTATGTGGCTTGTTCTGTGTTCAAATATGTGTAGTTTATACTGATGGTTTCATTTACTCCCATAAACCTTATTCTTTTTGGAAATTTTCTATTATTTTTTTAAATGAATATTAACATTTGTAACAATTATTAAACTGTTATCAAAGTACACTTGAATTTTTTTAAGCGTTTCACCCCAAGCAAGGCGGGAAGCCCCTAGCATGAAAGGGGTTACAAAGAGTTGGAGCTAGAACAAACAGGAGTGATAGAGGAAAGGATGAAGAGAAGGTTAGGGGATAGATCAGGGCATCTGGAGACGTCGATTGACATTACATTTGAATAGTTGGAGATTATAGCTATCAGGGAAACAAGACGAGGGGAGGGTTTTCCACAGGCGAGAGGTGAGAGACATGAAGCTATTGGAGTAGAAGACACGGCTACATTTAAGAGTTTCGACAGTGAAAGGGTGTGAGCGAAATGCCAGCCTAGTAAAACGTTTAAATTCAGGAAATTATGGAACCAGCGAAAGCAGCTCCTTGGAGAATATTTACTCAGCATTGGCTAATATTTAAAAAAAAAAGAATAAAACAAACAAAAATGGTATAGAGTAGTAGACAGAAAGAAAATTGTTTTCATGCGCACAAAATCAGAATTCGACAATTTGGTTTTTACGTAATCTCAAATTTTTAGCATGTTTTATCTGCCATATACTTTCAGGGGGCGATCATGGATATCTCCACAACTTGCTGTGTTTTATTGCCCTATATATATATATATATATATATTTTTACCCGTTTACCCTCCACCTTCCTGTTCGTCATTGATCTGTTTACCGAAACACATCAAGGACGTTACTCTTTGTGTATCACCAGCTTCTGTTGTCTCCACTATATCATGTGAGTTTTAAATTTCATTTCTTATTACGTCCCAGAAATGTCAGCTGTCTAGCTTTTTGGTTTTCAGTATCTTTGTGATTCCCATTTTGCTTAAAACATTCTAATTGTCCTGAAGTCCTCAACATTCATTGCTAGAATCACACCTCTGTCATTTCATTTCCCTTATTCAATGGTGGACAAATTGTTTATGATTTAGAAATTATTATTTTTAATGATTAGACATTATTATTGTTCATGATTAGACATTATTATTTTTCATGATTAAACGTTATTATTTTTCATGATTAGACTTTATTATTGATATATACCGTACCTATGAACAATAATGAGTATGTCTCAATCCTCATAAATAAATTAGACACTATTATAAATGGGAGTAATATGCTGTCTAAGTAGTCCACCACTAGCAGTTGTTTACCTACTTCACGCCGCTGGCGACTATTGTATTTTATTGATGTTATAAAGATTACCATTTCATTTCCAACCTCCGTTTTGGTTATTCCTCATTCAGTAGTCCTTTCTGGGTTAATTATTGTTCACGATTAGATATTATGTTTATTATTCATAATTGGATATTATTATTATTATTCTTGATTACATATTATCTTGACAAGAGTACCCTTTGATATGTTTCTAAGGATATCGTCAGATCCTTACATAATCTTCTTAATTTTTGTTTGGCAACTTTCACTGTTCAATGCGTCTTCGGATTTCTGTGCCATGATTTGCAACCATCAATTATTTTGGCATCACTAATGCATAACTCCTACTTTAAGCTGTCACTTTGTCTCAAAAAGAGGCATTTTGTTTTCTTACAGTTATTTGTTAGCCTTTCTACCTCCCTTTCCTTTAAAACCGTGTGTAGGAGTTTATTCAGTAACTTGTAAATTTATTAATATTTCGATCTCGTAGCAATTCGAAAGATCCCATATTCAATATGCTATAAATCTATGATTCACTTTCATTCTAATCGATAAAATGATCCCGTTTAAAGAGACTTTGTTTAATACCAGCCAAAGTAAGAGATTCCAATTTACATTTCAAATGTTGACTTATTATTTACGATTATTGGAAAAATGTTGAACGCTTCTTCAATGAGCAAATTATATTGCAATTCCGTTTCCGGTTTTTATTTTTTTTTATCGAATAAACAAATAAAATACGCAGAGTTTGAAACATTCAGCAACATAAAATAGTAAATTAAAAATTAAAATTTTTCTCAATTCTCTAATTGAATATTTTATATAATACTGCATTCAGGCCACATTTTTATCTTTGTTCAATTTTTGTGAGCTAATTGCTCAAATAGTCGCCTAAGTATAGGTATTAACCATTTATTGGCGATAGTCACTAATAATAGACAGACGAAAGATCTGAAATGCCCCAAAGATCCATCTGTTATTTTTATTTTTTTCTTCTTCTTACCTTTTTTCTTTTGATACAAAAAATTAAACATGCGAACGCTAATGAAATACGTCTGGCTTCCAGGACAGACATTACTTTAAAAAAACGTCGTACATGTGTGCAGATCTTCCTATAGCACACCTACCGTTTTGATATTCAGCAACCGATGAGAACCGGAGTGTAAGCGGCCTCATATCTGCAATAGGTAGCATCAAGAGAGAGGAAATTAGTTTGAATTAACCTGTACATTATTGTTGCAGAAGTAACTGCATAAAGAGAAAGCAATTTCGAATATATTTTCTTTGCTAAGTGTTTTGTGAACATTGGAATACTTGATTATAAGAGACAGGTATAAATTACCGAGCGGGCCTAAATTGAAGTTCTGTTCGTGCAGAATATTCCTAATTGTAATTATTAAAAGTCGATGATCAAGGGATTTTATTACGCAGTTAATTAGAACCGTAATCAACGTTCAAATCGGAAATAAGCTATCATGAATTAATTTGCCGAAAATATCATGCTACGCGTTGCTACATTGTTTTATTGGAGAAAATGTATTTTAATATGATCTAAAATTAATTAGATATAATGTGAATTGTACGCGTATTCAGCATAATGTTCGCATAAAGACAATTAAAGTATTAAATTGATGAATAGAAAATAATTCGTGAAGATGATAACATTTTCAATTTTTTTAAATTAACACAATAAAGCATATATTCGAAAGATTGTGAGATAAAAGGTCTTGCGTATTTAATGTAATATAACATTTAATTTTATGACATGATAAGCCTATACATCAACTGAATTCTGAAGATACGACTGACTGTATATATATATATATATATATATATATATATATATATATATATATATATATATATATATTGGCAGCAACCATTCATTTATACAAGTTTTACAAAATAGCATTAAAATAAAAAAAGAAAGTCTTATTTGAAACTAGTCCCTTGATTACCAAAGAATGTCTACGTTTCTAAATGATGATGATATGATTACAAGTTGTAATATATATATATATATATATATATATATATATATATATATACATATGGCTAGAGTTCACTGACGATCCGCTTTGGTGAAACCGTGATAGATTTGTCTAGCTCTTTAGGTTTAATTTAGGTTTGCTCTACTTAGCGTATCGAGCACTTTATTTAGTTATTTTCTTACTCATATCGGGTTTTTTTCTTTGGTCGCTGAACTTGGATGCTAGACGATTATTTTCGGCTGACGTACATGTTCTCGGTTCTTTCTTTTTTTGGACCATTTTTTCCCTTTGGTATTGTTTTTTTTTATTTGCAAATCAAAAAACTGAAGGTTTTCCGAACGAGTATAATTTCTTATATATATAAGATTATAATTATATATATATATATATATATATATATATATATATATATATATATATATATATATATATATATATATATATTGGCAGCAAACTTTCATTTATATAAGATTTACAAAATAGCGTTAAAATAAAAAAGAAACTCTAGTTCCTTGATTACTAAAAATGTCTACATTTATAAATGATCAAATTAGGATTACAAGTTTTCTAGCCCCACGCACAATTGGTGATAGATTCGGATTTGTACTTCTAAATTAGTTCCCAACCAATGATAGACAGCCTAGTTTGTCTTGCCATTAATCCCTCATTTTGGGAGAGAAAAGACAGAATTATATCTTACCAATTGATTTGTGTGAAAATGGAGGCACGTTATCTGGAGTAGTTTAAATTTGACACATCGATAGGAGTTACCGCGCAGATAACCGCTATGTTGCAGTAACATTCTATCTATCTATCTATCTATCTATCTATCTATCTATCTATCTATCTATCCCAGTCTGTCCAAACCTATTTATCTTAACCAGCCCAGATCTATCTATCTATCCCAATCTGTCCAAACCTATTTATCTTAGCCTGTCCAGATCTATCTATCTATCTATCTATCTATCTATCTATCTATCTATCCCAGTCTTTCGAAACCTATTTATCTTAGCCAGCCCAGATCTATCTATCTATCTATCTATCTATCTATCTATCTATCTATCTATCTATCCCAGTCTTTCGAAACCTATTTATCTTAGCCAGCCCAGATCTATCTATCTATCTATCTATCTATCTATCTATCTATCTATCTATCTATCTATCTATCTATCTATCTATCCCAATCTGTCCAAACCTATTTATCTTAGCCTGTCCAGATCTATCTATCTATCTATCTATCTATCTATCTATCTATCTATCTATCTTACCTAGTTTGTACGTAATGATCTTTACGGGTGTTTATACGATGATATTTGCCTAAGGAAATGGTGCTAGGTCGATTTAACTTGGTGTTGCCCATGAATGTAGATATCAAACACAATTAAAAACTGCTCAATCAGACTGGAATAAGATCACTCTGCTCATCCTCCTTGCTAACTCAAAGATTTGATTTTTCACATGTTTTTGGGGAGAACACATAATGATCTGTATAAATATAAGCACTGCCGATATAAATATCATTACTGAATGATCTTCTATCGTTGAGTATTTTTAATGGGTCCCCATATTTCTGCAAAAGCTTTGTTTACTTTAAACAGTATATTTATTTACATCTACAGGCCTGAATATGTCGAGAAATCTTATTTAAAGTAAAAGATGTGCCATTCGGTAGGATTCGAACGTGCGTCTCCCTTTTCAGGAGAAACTGTCGTTATATCAGACATGCTTTTAACCGACCCGACTACGAAGTGCGTCGCCGATTAATGAAGGTACAATACTGCCTTTAAGCACAATCCTCTTCTCGATCTATGTTTTACCTCCATCCCCGAGTCCTGTAGCGCCACGCAGCTCTACCCTCTTGGCAATTCTGATCATGCTGTAGTGTCTATCAACATCTCCTTCAACTTCACCCCCTGCAAAGTACCTCCTACCACTAGAACTTCGTTCTGCTATCAACGAGCAGACTGGGACCCGTTCCGGGATTTCATTCGCGATGTCCCTTTGGATGTTGTCTTTACGCTCCCCGTTCAAGATTGTGCTTCCTTGCTTGGGGTGAAACGCTTAAAAAATATCCTGCTCCTATCTAGATTCCCGAAATTTCATATTGACTGAATTTCATATCCGAAATGTAAACAAAACAATTTTAAAGAAGTAATGGACTTCTTATTTTTTTATTAACCCGACAAATTGCTATCACTTTAAATGGTATTTTTCGTGCTGACCCATATTAGAGTAGGTGCTCTGTTTACTGAAAACCGTGTATTTGTTTTCCTCTACCGACCTGAATTTTCGATAAAACTTATTTAAAGATAAAAGTTCACCTTCCGGCAGGATTCCAACATTCGTCATTGGCGTGCTTTTAACCGACATCTTTTTCTTAAGTTAAGGGATTCTCAGATCAAATGACTACAACTGGAATCAATACTGGAAACACCATTAAATATATCTCACAAAAAAATTGTCCAGAAATACTATCGTTTGAAAGCATTATTTTTTTCTTTTACAATCTCTTAGCATCATCCCACATGATCTATAAGGAAATGATATTCAGATAAACTATAAACTGCAAAGACTACAGATAAAGGCAGCTTGTATTCTGATAGAGAAAGAGTTAAGCGAATAGAGACAAGGAGAGATAGAGGAATGTGAAAAAGGACATTTTCGCAACTAATTTATTTAACCTCCACAACAAACTGATTCACTCAGGTCGAAAAGACCTACCAGGATTTTTTTTCCGCGTTCGTTACCATAACAACATTCGTTACACAGACAGAAGTGATTTTAAAGTTGATTCCGGCAGACAAGCTAAAGAAGGATTAGGCAGCGTTGTCGGCGAAAACAAAACAAAAAAATATAAGATTAATTCGTTTATTGTACAAAATATGAGAGAATTCATGGTTTTCTGAAATGTGTGAGTTGTCTATCCAGAACGTCAAAATGAAGCCTAGAAATGAACTCTGTTGGTATTATGATAATACTCTTTGGTAAGGGTAACAGAGAACAAGAACCCAGGAATAACGGAAGTAGCTTTTAGAAATATGAACAAGGTATCAAGGAATCGACAATATTGGAACATATAAAGACAATGATGAATTTTGCACTGTAATGTCTAATCTTTTATGCTGTACTCAATTTTGGACTATTTCCTCACAGATAAAAAAGAGACTTGGAGCGAAAATCTTCTAAATATTGCGAATAACGTGAAGCGTATCTTGGAAATTGGGCACGTGGCCGAGTGGTCAGAACGTTCGCAATCTGACCATGAGACCCGGGTTCGAATCTAACACATGGTCGGTTTGTCAGACTTTCTGATATTATCATACTGCTGGGGTCAATCCCAGCGCACGGCACCTTTGTAAAATGCCTGAAAACTATACCATGTCTGGATTCACAAGTCGCCGAGGGCTTGTTTAAATTGTTAATCACGCTAGATTTCTTTCCCAAATCTCAGCAGTATAAACCACATGTGGGTTCTGTGGGTGTTGAACAAACACAAATGTGCCTGAAAGAGCGTCTGCAATAAGGATTGGCTTGCCACCCAGGTAGATGGCTATCCTCGAATACGTGTGGCCATACATGCATATATCTGTGAAATGTAAAAGTTTTATGAAGGAACAGAAACTAGAAATGAAATGTTGCTAACAACAAATACGTCCGTGAATTGAATATTGCTGTCATATCTGCTCCTACTATACATCTCGAGCGATATTATCACTGTTATATTATCGATCCTAACCTGGCATCTCGGTTTATGTGACTTAGAGATGTAACGTGGCTTCCTTGTGTCTTTTCTCTGAATATTTTTATGACAATTGTTCTAATGTGATATCCTTCTTGGTTCCTCAAAAACATTAATTTCAGCGCAACCAAATAAATTCTGTCATAAGTTCAGATCTAACAGTTTATTCCCCGGCCGTGAAAAAAAAATGACTTGAAAGGCAGATTTAATGAAAGCGATTGCCAGTAAATTGCAGGTTACGGTCTGTGGAATTGCCTCACTTATTAGCCAGAGAATTTCTATTATCAACCAGTAGATGCTGTGAAAGACAATATAAAAGAAAATGGAACCCACTCCCTTTTGCCACAGGATGCCGTAAATTTTCTTGTTTCCTCCCTGACGGAATCCTCAGTCCACATGTGTCTCATTAAAACAACAAACATAATCCCCTATGCTGATAACTCTATCAAAACAACCAAATATAATTCTCTTAATTTAGTATGACTTTATATACGTGATATAAGATTGTTTCATTGATTAATTCGTTTTTTACGGACTGCCAACCATTTTCAGGTTATTTAAAGCCAAAAAGTATTTTTTAGATTATAAAAAGATTTTCTGGATCATAATAGTTTCGTGATAAAATTGTTAACAATTAACCCAGAGCAGGTGCAGATTATGAGGAATTATATATTTCACAAGGGTTTTTGCGCGTAAGTGAATGCAAAGAACCTAACTGGAACTGGAACTCAGGTCTCCGATTAAAAACTCCCAGTCATTATTCATTACACCACCAGCACAGCCAAGCTTGAAACGTGATATGGCCATAAGCCCACAGGATATAGGGATGTGTACAATTCAGTATACACACTTCTATTTACATCCTATATTTTTTTCATTACTTTCTCACACAATAAAATGTTGTAAATTGTATAACATTCTTTGTAATTACATTCCTATCAAGAGAAAATCCAACACGACCATTAAATTATCTCTCTCACATAAACATACATCTTATCCGTTTGCTACATAAAAGGGGATTTCTCTTCAAAGGAAAACATCGTGGCGACTCAAATCGTTTTCTCTCATTATGCATTACTTAGTTAAGCTTAGTAAATATAATTTAGAATCTGATCAAAACAATATTTCTTCATTAAGATTTTTCTTTAATCATTTCATCTCTTTCAAGGCGATGAAGCTACAAAGAAGCAAGGTGTTACTAAGAGTGAAGGAAACCGATAAAACGTTACTTAGAAGAAAGAACAATATAAGTAAAAAAAAAATAATAATTTTGTTATATAGTTGTTCTGACTAAAACGATAAAAAATGCATCAAGCAAACTATTTTCGTGTTTGTCTGCAGTCCATATTAACAGGAGAACGTTTATTTTGGGACATTTTAGCGGCTGAACCAGCTGCTAAAATGTCCCAAAATAATCTTTGCATTAAACTAATTGCGAAAGATGCTTAGGCTAACAGAAAAAGCCCATTAATATTAAAAACTAGTACAGGAGAGTGAGTGCTTGATAGAAGCAGCAATTTATCTCAACCGGACAACTTTGACGCAATGCGAAATGTTGTTACGTCACCATTTACAGAACATCACCCGCAGAGAGCACAGATGGCGTTCAAGTAGTTAAACTAAAAGGAAGCCATTGGTAATGACAGTTCACTGCTCGGACGGAACACAGGCTAGATTTGTTTCTAACTCAAATGGCCGTTCGGCCAAACCTAAACATTACTTTGACGCGCTGTCATGTGCGGGTCAGTCGACGGAGGTTAGTTCAAATTTTCTTCAGACCCAGTGCACCTTATTCTGATTGACTATTAAATCAATGAAGCAGGGGAAACAAAGACCAAGCTTAAAACGAAGTGTATGGATTTTATATTTGATTGCAACATCTCTGGAGGGCGTTTAGTTTGTTTTTTTTATGCCATCAAGACTTAGCAGATCATGACGCTCCACAGGTTTTACTTTATTATCTGCGACTTACCATTCGTTATTGAGAAAAATAGTGGAGTGATTTCTCTACGATTTGGAATTTTTTCTAAATACAAAAAATATTATACAAGGCTGGTGAAACCAGTCTACCATGTTCTTAATCATAAGAAGAAAAAGAAGAAGAAAAGAAGAATCATGATGATGATGATGTGTTCATTAATGGTATAAACAATACACGAAAATCAATTTTAAAGAGTAAGCATTTAAAATTATTTCTGTAAGAAAAAAAAACAGAACATTGTACTATTCCGTGTGTTTGGCTCCCAATGATTAATTATGGAATAGCCAACACAATCAAGCAATCTATCGTTGTGAGGTCCCTTTTGATTACAAAGATCTGTCGTTAATCACACTATGTTTCAAAGACCAGAAATGTTCCTCCTATCTATCTATCTATCTATCTATCTATCTATCTATCTATCTATCTATCTGTGCTGTGTTTCGCGTCGGCTCTGGCTTCAATTCTACAGGTGCCAAAGCTGCATCATACACTGGCAATCTAATTTAATTTTATCTCGATTTAATATATAAGTGGCAATATTTGTTGCGGCGT